GGTTAACATAGCCTTCATGGCATCCTCTTAGTTATTGTGTTAAGACATTTATATTCTACATTTAGAAAGATTCACATGTACCCTTATAAGATGAAACATAGGTGTGGTCCCACCAAACACCCAGAATGACAGCATTGTTAAGCTTAGTAATCTGTCTTGAGAGGACTAGATATGTTCTAGGCAAAACACAAGACTGGCTCTTTCCAGCAATACTGACAGATTAGCCACACCTGATTGATTTTCTTGCTGCACTACGGGCCCTGAAGCTATTTGGCCTCAATTAACTATATATTAGTAAGCATTGCCTTGTTGAAAATACTGCTCTTTTACCTACAGTACTACATGTACCTAATTCTATGCATCTTTATCCACAGAGCTTCAAGGTGGAATTTGCTTTAAACTGTGAGTTTGTTCCTGTTGAATTTCATGAAATCCGACAAGTAAAAGCCAGTTTTAAGAAGCTGATTAGGGCTTGTGTCCCAAGCACTATCCCTACTGATTCGGAAGTAACCTTCCTGAAAGCGCTGGGAGACTCTGAATGGTTCCCACAGGTAATGTCTGGAGCAACTTGTCTTATAACTCAAGAGAAAAAGTGGCCCAAGTAGATATACAGAATGATTATTTCAGAAAAAAAATTTTTTTCATTTCCCTACAACCCAGCATTCTCCTTTCTTGTGTGCCCTCTGTAAAGGCCTTTCGTTTCAGAAGACTGTGTGATATAGCAGGGGAGAGGGGAGAATCCTTGATCACTGGGTTTTTATCTGTGAATAATTAAAAGTCTGGTGTCCAAAGGATGCTCAGGAGAAGGAAATTATTTTTAGATGGAAACTTTTGATGTACAGTGAATTCAGTCAGCATGTATTTATCGGACCTCCGCTCTGTTGTCAGCATAGTAAGGATCCACCCTCCGTCTGTCCTACTCCATGTCTCTAGAATTCAGGTTCACCCCCAGACTAGCTACCGGGGACACACTGGATGCCCCAAACCTACCTAAGGCTTGAGAAAATCCATATATCCATCCTTCAGCTAACTCAACCTTGGGATATTCTTATTTATGTATTTATTTATTCTTTCACATAAGGACATTTTAAAGGTCCAGGGATACTTTAAATTTAACTTTTATTGAGAAATTAAGGGAAAATAGATATGCCAGCACAGAAACACTCACATTTCTTCCGAAGCACAGAAAAGTATTTATGACATGCATATTTTAGAGGCTGATGCAGACACCTGGCCAAGAGCATCTTTACAATATACAGCCTTGTCTTTAAGCCTCTGATGCTGGGTCCATTATTTCTTTTCACCCTGCAAGAATTCCTAGTCCCTCTGTCCCCTACCTCCCAACTACTCCAAGTGGCCTGCCTCTCTTGTATAAGAAAAAGTGTCATTTCCCACAGCACACTAAACTAAAAGATGAAAAAAAAAAAATATCCAGGGAATAATATCAGTACCCAGGTCAGTGACTGTTTTTAAGGTATCTAAACTATAGAGAAACACAGCCATGTAGACAGTTGGCTGTAAATGTATATCAGGGCATGTTCATTACTGTGAAGGTAATTTAGGATACTTAGCTGCACCCATGAAAGGAGCTACCTATTTCTAGCCTATGAGTCCCGGCCCCAAACTAGCCCACCATCCAACTTATTTTTCTGGTATAGTCTGTGTTCTGCTCTTCGCTAGAAAGTGAACCTGTACCAAAAGTTAAGGACTAAAGACAGTAGAAAATAACTGCCTCACTTGGGATATTGGCATTTTAAAAGTTAACTCTTAGAGCAAATGCTAAGCCTGGTGACAGCTATCGCATAGGAACAATAAGTGAAGAGCTTCCCATTGCTGGGTAAGACGTGTCTTGTTCCTATCTTTAAAATAGCCTAGCTCTGTTTAAAATCTGGTAGAACTTCTGTAAGTTGACCACCAAGGGACTATAACACAGTGATCAGCATACAGAGGTGGTCAACATAAGAACTGGCCCACTGGCTCGGCGCCTATAAATCAACCGGCTAAGGCGCCAGCCACGTACACCTAAGGTGGTGGGTTCAAATCCCCAGCCCGGACCCGCCAAAACAACAATGACGGCTGCAACCAAAAAATAGCCGGGCCGGGCGTTGTGGCGGGTGCCTGTGGCCCCAGCTACTTGGGAGGCAGAGACAGGAGACTCGCTTGAGCCCAGGAGTTGGAGGTTGCTGTGAGCTGTGATGCCATGGCACTCTACCCAGGGGGACAGCTTGAGGCTCTGTTTCAAAAAAAAAAAAAGAACTGGCCCACTGCGCTCATGCGTACATGGGGTGTCCATCCAGTGAAAATGACCTCAACTTAAGGAAGTAGGCAACACAGAGAAGCTGGTCAACTGTGGAGGTTCTACTGTAAGCTTTTTGTTTGTTCAGAATTAGATTCAAAGTGCAAATTATATCCTATGATACTGAAAATATTTTTTTAAATTAGAATGTTACATATTTGCTTTTAAAATGCATGTGCACATTCACAATTGTTCACTAAGATTTTGAGTCATTTAGTGGGGCTTAGAAACAAATATAAGTTTTCTTCCCATTTAATACACAGTAAAGACAAATTAGGAGTATCTTTTTCTTACCATATAACTCATTTACCATAAAATTTATCCTTTTTAGGGTGGCGCCTGTGGCTCAAAGGAGTGAGGCACTGACCCCATATGCCTAAGGTGGTGGGTTCAAACCTAGCCCTGGCCAAAAATTGCAAAAAACAAACAGACAAAAAAATTATCCTTTTTAAAGTATACATTTCAGCTTTTTAGTCTATTCATAACATTGTATAACTATCACCACTGATTTTCCAGTTCCAGAAAAATTATGAGTATCTGAAATAGAACTTACTATAATCATTAAAAAAAAAAATTTTTTTTTAAATCCAGTGGCTTTGATGGGAAGGCCATTTAGAAACCCTGTCTTTCCCAGTCTGTGGAATTATACCTTTTCTACTTTGGGAGAAATTTGATAAGTTTATCTTATTTCATTAAGTGTTATTTTTAAATGTGGCTACTTTTAAAAAGCACCATTGTTTAATCTTGATTTGATAAGAACCTTAAGTATCTAAAACATTAGTGGTTCTTTTGTCCAGGTGCTTTATCCCTAATTTGTGTGATTATCCACGGTAGATAGCAAGTCTGTGCTCAGAAAGTGCTGAGTCTCACTGTGGCCTCTTTCCTGTCTCTCAGCTTCACAGGATAATGCAGCTGGCCGTGGTGGTATCAGAAGTACTTGAAAATGGTTCCTCAGTTTTGGTCTGTTTGGAAGAAGGCTGGGACATCACTGCACAAGTAAACTATTACATGTATTTTCAGATAGTTTTATATTTGTACTTAAATTTAGTTGTTTTTAAATTCTTCAGATGAATCTTTTATATAACAAATAATGTGTTTATAGACAGAGAAAGTCTCCCGTCAGACACCATCTGATAACTATCTGGAAGGTCTGTGCTATGAGCTTTTCACCCCTACATAGCCTGGAGCTCTGGCTTGGGGGCCTCAGGCTAGCTTGCTAATTTAGTCCTTAGCCAGGAATGTAGGACATGGACCATCTTTCCTGGGTTTTGAAATTTCAGTCCATTCCTTGGCTCTCTGTAAGTCCCTCCTTTACTCACTCAAGGGAAAAGGAGGCCAGGCACAGTGGCTCATGCCTATAATCCTGGCACTCTGGGAGGCCAAGGGGGTTGGATCCCTTGAGCTCAGGAGTGTGAGAACAGCCTGAGCAACAGCGAGATCCCATCTCTACTAAAAATAGAAAAAGATTGGTTGGGCATAATTTGGGACCTGTGGTCCCAACTACTCAGGAGACAAAGGCAGAAGGATTGCTTCAACCCAGGAGTTTGAGGTTACTGTGAGCTAGGCTCATGTACTCTAGTACTCTAGACTGGGCAACAGAGTGAGACAAAGTGCTTTTATCTTAGTAACAGGACTTTTTCAGGACTGAAAGTAATGAAGAATCCATCTTGCTTGTGCCCTAGGTAACATCCCTGGTTCAGTTACTGAGTGATCCTTTTTATAGGACACTTGAAGGCTTCCGGATGTTAGTGGAGAAAGAGTGGCTCTCTTTTGGTCATAAATTCAGTCAGCGGAGCAGCTTGACCCTCAACTGTCAGGGTAGTGGTTTTGCTCCAATCTTCTTACAATTCTTAGACTGTGTACACCAGGTAAGTAGAGCAAGCTTTTAAACTGACTTGATATGAAGGGAAGGGGAAAAAGTGCTAGCATTTATTGAGCTTTGTGATACAATGCCTGGTACCTTCTTATCATAACTGTGATTGACTTAGCCATAGGACATGCTGAAATCTTAGCATTTGACTCCTGGGAATGGAGAAGAAAGAGAACAAGTTGGTTTCTAAAACTAGGACAGCTGTGCTCGCTATTGGGCTTGCCTCCAAGTGAGATAGCCAACACTCCAAATTACCGTCTCCAAAGAGGAGGAACAAACTTGGGCTTGTTCTCCATGAACATTTGGGCACGTGTAAAACAGCAAAAATCTCTAGGTAATGGCAGGGCCTGAAATCCAGCACATGGTCTTACCAATCTGGAGGACCTTAGTTTGTGCCTGGGAACGTAGAGCCTAACCCCTAGAGAATCAGGGCCCAGCCAGGCAGGCGTATGGACTTGTGAACACTGGTTCAGGTCTACTGAGTGACATAATCAGGGCTAATCAAGAGGCTAGACAAAAGCCCAGGTTTATAATCCATTAAAGCCCAGTGAGGGTTGGGGAGATGTGAGCGCTCTAGGCTGCCTTCTGCCTTCATTCCAAGTACATCAGATACAGAAGGGGCCTTACTCAGGATTGGGCTTGAGAACTGGATGGCCCTGGGCATGCAAGTTGAAAGCTATTAGCCTAGGAAATATTTCCAGCCTTTGACCGCAACCCCAAGGGTTAGATGAATGGGTTCTGGCATGTCAAAAATATTTGTGAGAACAGTGAGCCTTTTTGAAATACACTGGCCTCAAGCATCAATTGGAAGGAAAGGTAGAAATGTTTTGAGGAACCAGAATTGGAACTAAGTATTCTGAAGAGGACAATTTAGTATGTAATTATGTTTTGTTTTGTTTATGTTCTTTTAATCACTGGATCACCTTTATTAATTCACTACATATGTTTTTAAATGACAACTTTATTGAAATATATATATATATCAATCGTACAGTTCACCTATTTAAAATGTTCTATTCAATAGCTTTTACTGTGTTCATAGAGTTTGTGACCATTACCACAGTTAATTTTAAAACATTTTATCACTCAAAAAAAAAAAATTCCATACCAATTAGCAGGGACTTTCCATACCTCCATCACCACCACCTACCCACAAGAAGCTGTTGTTTTTTATTGCTCCAGTTCACTGGTTAAAGAAAAGACTTACTGACCAGGCACAGTGGCTCACATCTATAATCCTAGCTCTCTAGGGGGCTGAGGCAGAAGGATCACTTGAACTAGGAGTTCAAGACCAGCCTGAGCAAGAGTGAAACTCTGTCTTTAGTAAAAATAGAAAAATTAGCTAGGTGTGATGGTGAGTGCCTATAGTCCCACCTACTTGGGAGGCTGAGGGAAGAGGATTGCAGGAACCCAGGAGTTTGAGGTTGCTGTGAGCAGGTCTGATTCCATGGCACCCTAGCCTGGGCAACAGAGCAAGACTCTGTCTCAAACAAAAAAAAAAAAAAAGAAAAGAAAAGAAAGAAAGAATAAAGAAGACTTACTAAATAATTTCAGTTAGTCTTCCAAGCATTCCCCCATCTGGAGGAGCTGGTCACAAGGCTGAGCTTATGCTTTTAAATTAAACTCTTTGCAGCAAATAGTATACAGTATTTGTTTTCTGTTTGAATACTAGCCTTTTATTCATACTCTTTGGCAAACAGATAAGGAGAAAAGGTAGAAACGATTGTCTCTGAAACAGAAAGCTTAAGAGAGGAGAGGAGAAGAGAAGCAAGCATCTCTTCTCACTTCTAGATAGGTGAAAGCATATGAGCTCTTCATGCAAGCACGTCTCATTATCTTGCCTATTATCTCATTATGCTTACCAAGTGTATTAGGCTATTTCTTGGCTCCATATAGCACTACTAACAGTAATCACTAATATGAGTTGATCCTTACTGTGTGCCAGGCGCTGTCCTGAACACTCTTTATGTTATTTTATTTCATGATTCTTTTTAAGCAATCTTTGAATCTTTTCCTGATCCCTCTCATTTATATTTCTAATGAATCATGTACACATTTCTTTGGTAGCATCAGTAACAATAAAGCATATTTATGTGTATCTGTCTATTGCCCTTTACTTAGACTAAAAATTCCTGGGAACAGAGACTATTTCATATTAGTCTTCTTATCTCTAGTACCTAACACAATTATAATTTCAGTCTCTGCAATATAATAGACAATAAATATGTAATATCAATGAATAACTGAAAATTTGAAAGACCATAATAAGTCTTGTTCTTTTCTTTTTCTTTCTTTTGGTTTTTTTTTTTTTTTTTTGAGACAGAGTCTCAAGCTGGGTAGAGTGCTATGGCATACAGCTCACAGCAACCTCAAACTCTTGGTCTTAAGCAATTCTCTTACCTCAGCCTCCCACGTAGCTGGGACCATAGACGCCTGCTACAATGCCTAGCTATTTTTCTTTTCTGTTGTTGCAGTTGTTGTTGTTTTAGCTGTCCTGGGCTGGATTCGAACTGTCAGCCTCAGTGTATGTGGCCGGCGCCCTGCCAACTGAGCTACAGGCACCACCAATAAGTCTTGTTCTTGCTCTCATCATCGTTCATCAAGGCCATCTAATATCCTAAGTAGAATTGCTTGCATAATCTAATTATTACCCTCTCCAAAAGTCAGCATAACACGCAAACAAAAACCTTAAATGGCTCCACATGTCCTAAGAATTGCTCTTCCCCATATCCAATTTGAACATAATAATGGAGTCATTGCTTTGTGAAATTTTACCTTGAAAAGATCTTTTTTTTTTTTTTTTTTTTTTTGAGACAGAGCCTCAAGCTGTCCCCCTGGGTAGAGTGCC